AGCGCGATGAAATTTTCTACACAGTTCAGTCTTAACAATGTCTCGGTCGAGTTCGAAGATGAGCAGGATCCGTCAAGAAATGGCTGAGTTATAGAAAAAATTGTAATTATTGAGAAGACCATCCCTGAGGGGGGATACAGGGATTTTTTCAAAAAAAAATTTTTTTCTCAGTATTATTCACAAGATATATAAATCGACTCAGTTTTTAACGCTGATTCCGAATCTGATATTAAGTTTGAACCAAATCGTAGCTTTCTAACAAAACATCCCCTGAAAAAGGTCTAAAAGCTGCATGAAGAAAGCAAATAGGGTAGATATGTCTCAGATGATAAAAAACAAAGTGAATATACCTGTTCACTTTTTGAAGTACACATAACACTCGGATTTAAATCCGATGTTTTCGCATTTATTTTTATATAATAATAAAATCTATTTCGAAAAACGTGTACTACAGTTTCATATACTCTTTCAAAAAATCAATCGACTACAATGAAGTTTCTTCGAAAATTCTTAGATACGTGATCTATCGAATGCTTTTGAGCTTGATATGTTGTTTATTCCTATTTGTATTCATAAATTCTTTGGCATGAAAAGAAATTTATTGAAAGGCAAAGAACTTAACAGAACATCCATCTTTATATAAGACATTAGTAACAATAATGGTTATCCAATACATAGATTTAAATGTTATCGAAAATTGAAAGTTTAATTTCCTATATATCATTTTGTAACCTATGCATCATTTTTACGAGCTGACTACTCTATATTATGACACATGTTTTTTTAAGATCAAATAGAAGATGAACTTTCGAAATAATAACCTTCATATTATTTTTAGTTATTCAACTGAATGCGTTACTTGGTAAAAAAGGTCGTTCACTTCGAGATTTAACTGATTATTGGGATGTTGCGACATATTTTGAACTTCATGCTGTTCAACGTGATTGGTCAAAAGCATGTTTAGCTGCATTACATATGTATTTACTAAATCCTCCAATATGGTATTTAAAATCAACAATAAATAATTTAAAAATTCTTCATCAAGCAACACGTATGCGTAATCAACCAAAACTTCGAGAACAACGTTCAATTACTTCCGATGATGAAAATGTTTATAGTTTTTGGATAGATTTTTTTAGTGATGCAATTAATTCAAATTCAACATCAACTGAAGAAAGAGAATTACCAGCACAAGTACCAGTATGTATCGCAAAAAAAAACAATAAGAAAAATTTTCTTTTTTTTTTTTTTGTTTTTTAAAGATTCTTGTTTGTGATAATTATGAAAAAAATGATGGAACAACATTAAAAAATGTTTATGTTGAATCACATTTACAATTAAATTTTCATACTGGTAGTGAACCTGAAACACTTGTTATACGTACACTTGAAAAACAAAAACAATTACAAACAGAAGAAAGTGTAAGAATTATTGAAATGAATTCAATTCGATCAATTATGTAGGATTTTGTTTTTTTATTATTCAAAGATTATTTTATAGTAGATAAACATTTGTTTTTGTTTTAGAAATGTTAAACGAGATAATCGATCTGTTTTTCTTTATGCATATGAAAATGCTGAAGCATTTCTATCTGTTGAACTTCAAATATTTTTCTCATCAGCCGAACGTCGTACAGCGTAAGTAGGCTTATCGAAAGAAGACTTGCTACGAGGTAAAAAGTACATCAACTTAAACTCGTTTGCCTGAAGTTTTGACTACAAATAGAGCTCGATCAATTCTAATCACCAGCAACAACCCGAGATCAATAGGCTTTAATGCGAAGCGTTTACAATGAAAAACATTGGTTTTTACCGTAGGGCCAAAAAAAAAAAGCTTTTCTAACACTAATCTGATTTTTCAATATTTAAATGCATTAACTGTCATTTTCTTATTAACAAATAAAGATTCATATGCCTACATTGTAACGGGTGCGTCAGATTAAATGGTCCTCTCAGTATTTTGACTATAACTTTTTTTCTTTAGAGCTAATTGTTTTTTCAAAAGATGCGTCGTGAAATTCTCTGTAAAATCATAATCAAACTTATTTGTGTAGAAATTTAAGGAAAAACATTAAACGAAGATTATCCGACACATTAAAAGTACCCCACTTTCAAAGCTAACCGGTGTTTGTATGTCTTTTTTTTATCGTTAAGTACATCTATTTTAAAAACAAAACATACCATAAGACGCAGCGTAAAAAGTTCTATAAGTTACATTGAAAACCTTATTTTATACATGCACTCTTTGTTCTTAAAATGGACAAAATTCTGTCGGACCAATTTTCGACGCTGCGAACAAGATCAGTTTTTGCTACACTATGAATTCATTTTTTTCTTATTTCATCTTTTTATCGCCTAATATGTTGTATTAAAAGAAAAGAAAATATACTACAAGATGGAGCGTGAAAAGCTCTACAATCTACAACGAACAGTTTATTTTATATATATATGCATCTTTTGTTTTTATAATAAGCAAAGTTCTGTGCGACCAAAAATGATCTTGTTCGCAGCGTCGAAAATTAGTCGCATAGAATTTTCTCCATTTTGAAAACAAAGAGTGCTTGCATAAAATAAGGCTTTTAATGTAACTTGTAGAGCTTTTCACGTTGCACCTTATGGTATACTTTACTTTTAAAATAATGTGCTTGGCGATAGAAAAAAGAGACACAAACATCGGACACTTATGAGACATCCGTCA